CTTGTCTTGCGGGGTCTTGCTAAAGTAGGCAAGATTTGATTCTGGTTGCTGGATCTGTTTCAAAATCTTATTTATCTCCTTTTACTTTTATGAGGAAGGCTTTAAAAGGTGAGGAGAGCCCCAGTCTTGAGTATTTTTCTCTTAATGATGATAGGGAAAACACCTTAATGGTAAATCTTGATTTCTTTTCCCTATTGATATGCATACATAAATGAGAGCATTGTTTTTTTGTAGTTGCCTGCCTAGTAGCCTCAAGGCAAATAAACAATTACACCATTCAATTGGAGACACTGTAATTTTATCCTTCTTAAGGTTATATGCTGTGAATCTCTTTTCTCAACTTTCTTAACTTTTAGACTCAAGAAATGCTTGTTTTAAGGTGAGTCCTACAGTTGTTTTGGTCTTGAAATGACTTGACAATGTTCTTGAAAATGAACCAAAAAAAGTCTTTGTTGGAGGAGGATGTTCAAGAGGGTATTTGACAAAAGACACTAATCTCCAGCCTTGATCCTGAAAGACAGCGTGCAAATACAGCAAAGTGTGGGCTTTTCAAGAGACGTTCAGTGTCAGCATAACTTTGCTTCCATTCAGACTAACAATGATAACTTCAGAACACGCAGAGTCAGGTCAATAGTGAATATATATATATTTAAATCCTGCCATCAAAAGGAGTTAGAATGCCTGCAGGAGTACGTGTGAGTTTAGTAGCCAGGACTTAAATTAAACAGCAGTTAACAGCACTCTGTGCCACTTTCAGGAGAATAAGAACCTGCCCTTTACAAGTTTTCCTTGGCCTAGCTGATGACTGTAATTTACCAAAGCAGGTGTTTATGCTTTTGGAGTTATGTAAGTGGCCCCTACTTTAGTCTCTTCCACTTGTTGTTACATAGTGATACTGGAGAAGAATATGGTGCTTAGTTTTTAAGTATGTTTGTGGTTGATTTGTTTTCTTTGGAAATACAATGTCTGTATAAACTTAATGGTAAAAGAGAAAGGTAGTCTTGCCAGAACATGCAAGTCTATAATATGTGGGCCTATAGTACTGCCTGTATTCTAGGATTGGCAGCAATGATATGGTACTAAAGTGATTTGTCAGTGAAGCCAGAAAGTTTGGGAATTAATGAATATCTCTGATACAGAGAGATGGGCTATAGAAACTTGTGATTATCAAATACTGATCTAATATTTTCAAGAATTAAGGAATATGATTTCCAGCTGGAAAAGGGGGTTGGGGAATGGAAAGAAGAAGGAGGGAAAAATTACAGCTTGTGAAAAATAGTAGATTAATGGCACTGAAGACTGAAACTCATTGTATATTGACTATCTGTAAACAAGACTCTGGTGATCTGAATTCTACCATACAGACCAGTTTTGAAGATGAGGGTTCAATTAAACTAAATACACCTTGCTAGTGCTTCTCAATCGGAATAATAATTAAAAAAAAGTTCTTGTAAGAAACAAGTTGTTTTATAAAGAATGCCATCTTTGCACTGAACATTTTGAATTTTCATGTCTAGAAACTTGTCGTTTTCAATCAACATTTCTCTGGATAAGAGTACAGTTCTTTCATAGGAAATACTCTTTTCTCCAACCAGTTTCAGTAAGTGGGTTGCCCAGAGGCTGTGAAATCTCTGCCTGTGAAGGTATTCAGGACAAGCCCCTGAGCCACCTGATCTAAGTTGGCCCTGCTTTAGCTAGAGAGATCCCAGATGACCCCTAGAGGTCCCTTCCAACCTAAATTAGTCTGTGATTCTCTGATTCTGATAAGTCTCTTGTCACACTGGGTTTGCACTGCTCTGAAGACCAGCAAGAATGTTATTACTGACCAGAAGAAAATCTGTTTTGCTATGGATAGTCCTCCTCAAGAAATCAGTTTGAAACAACCAATTTATTTGAACGTTGGTGTCCTGTCAGTTATCATATGGCGATAACTCTATGGGCACTGGTGCCACAGGTCAGTTCCAAACACTTACTCCATTTTTGTGTTTGCAAAGTGTTTTATCTCATTGTCTGTCCCCTTAAGTCCTCTGTCTTCCTTTCTTCATCATCTAGACATCACTTTCTAGCAGATTGCTCATGTCAATAGTCACCTTATTTAAATTTCCAAGGGGAGCAATGTTGCATTGATTTTTGTTTGCATGTTCCCATAATGCGAAGTTGAGTTTTCTTCTCCAAACCATTTAATGAGCCAAGACTTAAAAGTCATTTACAAAAGAAGAATGCTCTTCTCTCAATGAAAGATTTAGAAGCTGAAGGATACTGTGTCTAAATACTAATCTAACAAAGAGAGTTTAGCAGATTCCATTCACTAAAGTATTTTTGTAACTAAGATGGTGTTCTTGATTTTTTTCTTTTTTCAGGTATTTTGATTGGCTATTTTCTCCTTAGATTAAGAGAATGTGACATTGCATTTTATTATTCTTCCATCTGGATTTGTTCTTCTCTTTCCAGTCTTGTTTTTCTCAGGATTTCTTAGTGCTTTCCTTTACAAACACTTAACATGAGCAAACCCAAGAGAAATGGATTTCCATATTAATAATTTAGCATTATTATCTCTTTCTTCTGAAAATAACTGAACCTCCCAAATGTATTTTGGTTAGATCTTCTGTTGACAAAGCTGATAAAATAACATTACAAGATACTGAGTAAAAAATATTCTTTAAACATCTGTATGTATGTTTGTGATAACTATATGGAAGTTTTTTGTGTCTCTGTGTGAAAACATGTAACACATAAGAAATCAAATTTAGATGAAGACAGTGTTCACTTGTGAAACAGCATCTCTACAAGTCATGTTACTGTGGCTGCCATATCTAGTATGGCTTAAACTGCAATGTGCTGGAAAATGCCTATAGGCTTCCTGTTTAACAGCCATCACTGATTTTACAGGCTGTTTTTAATAAATTTCCTCCATTGCTCAAATTTTATTGGTGTGTCAGGACATAGTTTCCTTCTGTATATTAGGCTTATTAGACGGTTCTTCTGAGTTTTGGTGGTGTTTTTTTTTTAATCCAAGTTGTTTATGTCAAAATTGCCAGTCCACTGCTGACTTGACTTAACCTCATCTTTGAGAGAGTAATTTGCAGGAAATTTTTAGAGTAGCAGTACTTAGTCTTGGTTTTGTGGTATCTACTTGCTAAAGTCTCATGGGAAAATATAAGATAATTTGTGAAATGTACCTATGAACAAAAACATCATTAGAGGCCTGATTTAGAATCCATAAAAGTCAATGGAAAGAGTACAACTGAATTCATTGTCTCTGAAACAAGTCTCGTGGGGGCATTTTGTTGCTGTTGTATCATTTCATGTTGAAATATTTTTCAGAAAGTCATCAGCAAAAGAACAGCAAGATTTTTTTCTGAAGTTTTTAATACCAGAAAGTCACTTGTTCCATTATGCGCTAAATCCATTTTTTCATGCAGCTCAGCAGTACTTTGGGTACTAATATTTCTCTGTGTCCATTTTTGAGGATTCCACTATTCTTTTTGTTTAAAAAAAAATGTTAACTCTGTAGTGTCTGGGTTGGTTTTTTTTTCTTTTTTTTTCCTGTGCTAAAGAAAATCATATATATGTATCTTAACTGTTGGAGCTTTCATTCCTATCACTTCACAAACTAATAATAACGTTCTAGCTACTCTAAGGACATGAACATGTTATAGCAGTTTCAGTAATTTCAGCATCTATCAGGATAGTGGAGGGAAGAATCAAATAGGCATCAAAAGTACAAATGTCAGCCTCCCACCCATATAGTCACTGTAGCTTCCAGATAAACAATACTGGATTTAAGAACTCCCAATAAGTTGTATTAACCAAGAATTAATGTGAGAAACATTGAATATAATACAATGTCTAAAAAACTAGGAAATCATCCCTAAAGCCAAATAACAATTTTGTTGCCTGGTTTTCTTAGTCTCACTTCCCTTTTCTCATACCCTTACCCATTTCCTGGGTATTCCTCGAACTCAGCCTGTAGTAGTTGTCCCTGTTAATGTGATCCATTTAGTTGTCTAAAGCTGTATTATATGCAATTTTATGAGAATTTCATTGATTTCCATTAGAATTTGAACAATTCATCTTCCAGTATTAACATGTGGCTGTCTGAGTTCTCACGTCAGCTTCAGCCGACCCTGCTGTAGCTTTCTTACAAAGTACTATTTCTCCTGAGTGCAAACAGAGCTAAAATTCTCCCCTTCTCCTCTTTACTGCATATTCTCTGTTCCTCACCAGACAGCCTTCTTTTAAGTAACAGCCATTCTGGTGCGAATACCTTATGTAAAGCTCTTTCCATGCTACATACAACCCATAGAAAAGAAGATGGGAGCACTGCAAAGAGATCTTGCTGGCATAGTCATGGCCCTCCACCTTCCTGGGCAACAAATCTGTAAAATACTATGTTGTGGGCAGCATCAGATTTCCTTTTTCCCACTGGCTTCAGTTCTAACATTCAGAATTCACATGGCCAAGAGTGAAGCTGGAAGAAGGGAAGCTGGAGACCATGGCTCTGTAGCTGGGACTTCATTATTTGTCCATGTGGGGCAGCAACAATGAGACCACACTGTCATACAAACTTTTCTTGATTGCCAGATGGGTCTCCACACATCTGCACTTTTGTGTGAATGCCAGAAACCAGAATCAGATCACATTTTGCTTTTAGCTGAAGTTCAGGACCAAGCTTCCAGACCTAGATTTACTCACCAACCTTATTCCCACCCCACACTTGGGTAACCCACAACCGTACATCAGCCTCCCCTCCATGTCCTCCTTTCCATGAGAAGGAAATGCATGTGCAGGCCAGAAGGGAGTCACAGCATGGCCTTCAGGAAACCAGAAGGAAAATAAGTTGACAAAATACTGATAGAACTACATGTGCTTGAGGAAGAATCAGGAAGAGGGAGGGGTGGCACAAGACCAGAAAAAGAGTTATTGACCACCAACCACAGGTTCTTTCTTTTTCATTTGAAAAAGTAAGCCCTGGTGGCTGTTTTGTTTTTCTTTTGCAGTCGTCTCTAACAAACAGCGACATCATCTTTGTGAAGTTGCATGCCCCTTGGGAGGTCCTGGGCAAATATGCTGAACTAATGAATGTAAGAATGCCTTTCAGGTAGGTGTAGTTGTGTTTTGTCTCAACCTCCAAAGTCACACTATACTGTAAAGATAATGTAATAATAACACCAAAATGCACTGGGAAAAGCTCTTCTATAAGATACCACACATCTTCAGAAAATATAAATGGAGTACCTTAGATACCATATTCATTGCTGTTTCTTGTTAATGCCTGCAATTTCAGTACAATACTGGTTTGAAATTAAGGCACGCTGTAGCAGTGCAGCTGTTTTCATGGGGTATTCTATCCTTAGGCCCTTTAACCCCTTCAATGCTGGAGCCCCCTGCATACTTGTGCGCTGCTGTTTTTTAAATGGACATTTCATTGAAATCAATGGGAGGTCAAGAAGATCCAGGTACGTAAGGCAGCACAGAAGGTGCATGTCTGTTGGACGTATCTGGTATGTTCAGCACCTGTAAATTGCTTATATAGAGTGTAATTATGGAAATACAGATTATAAATAAGTATCCGATCTAACAGGAGAACAATTCAGACTATAAATACTTTTTTCTGTGGAGAAAGTAAAGAACTTATATTAAATGCTACTGATAACCAAATTCACTCCACATTGTCATTCGGATTATTTTTATTGTTTATTTAATATTATTTGCATGTTGGGCTATGAAATTTTCTATGTAAAAATATCGATTTTACTCTGCTGGTTATCAGAACTGTTAAAATAGCATAAAGACTTCCACTGGAACTGACCAAAACCAATGAACTGATAGGTCTTGATTCTTCTTTAAATTAGCAGGGTTTATAGATGCATAACTCCATTGATTTTAATGGAATTACTCCTGAGCAAGAAAAGGATCAGACCCAGAATATGCAACTAGTGAGTTGGTGTCCTTTGTAGGATTTCTATTCCTGTTTTTTTCTTACTTAAGGATGAAAAATGCCTCTGATAGGAGACAAGCTGTAGCAGTACAGAACTTGATAGGAAAAATGGATATGAATTAAGGACAAAATTGCAGGCTTATTCTGTATGTATTTTGGTTTTCATTTTCACAGCAAATCTTCAACTGTTCTTTCTTGTGCTTTTAGTGATAAAGAGAAAAATATAAAAGCTATCACAAGTCATTGTGAGATATTCATATTCTTTTAAAAAAGTGTTCTAGCCATAGAAACAATGGGCTGGGCCAAAAGTGTACCTCCTTTGACTTCTGTGGCATTCCTTGAGATGAACCTGCCCCAGTAGGAGGAGAAGGTCTCTTGATTAAGAAATACACCAGGAACTCAGATTTTAGTCACTGTGAGCAGCTTGTTCTTTCCTGATCTGAAGTCCCTTTTTTGAAATCTATCTCTCAGCAGATAGCAAAGTAGATGCCATACAGATTATATAGAAAGCATCGAAAATACTAAAGGTTTCTTGACTTGCTTCAGGGCCACGGCTTCATTCTTTCCACGTCCACAGAGAGAGAATTATTACAGTATTGTTAAGAGGAAATCATGGTGATTTACTAACATCTGCTGGGCAGGCTCTTAAATTTTATTTTAAGAGCAACCATACTGTTTACCATTTAAAAACAAGGACCAGCATTTTACAAAATGTCCACTAGGCTAGACTGCCTGTTTCCAGGTGCCCTTGTCTGACCCCTTTTTTTAAGGGCTGCTGATTGCTTACAGCTCCTGATATTTTAGGTTAGAATTGTCCAAGGCCCACACATCAGTGAATAAAATCCTTGCTGTTTCAAAGCAGGGGTGCCAAAACAGTGGATGCCTCTGAATATTTGAAGCAAAACCAAGAAGTGGATGGCATCTTTAGAAACACTTATCTTTGACCCTTCTCTACTCCTGCCGAGTAAATAACACTATCTTGTGGAGGAGTTGGCCAAAGGAGGCTGGCCAACATGAAATTGTTTTGAAAATTTCACTTCACCGGCACAATATGGGCACTGATAACAAAACTAATGTCAAAATATTATGTGTTATTTAAATTCTAAGTTCTGAAAATGAACCTGGAATTCTAACCAGGTTTTTTTTCTATAGTTTAGAAGGCATCAGTGCTGTCTTATTTTAGAAAGGTCCCAACCATGCTTGCTTCCGAGGCACTAACAGCATTCCTACAGTACATTTAATATACACAAATATTCAGAATGAAAAGTGTGGTGTGAGCCCTTCATTTTCCAGAAGTGGTACAGTTCAGCGTTACACCACGGAACCTCTCAGAATATACAGAATATACAGAAACCACCTTGAGTTAACAATGACCTCCAGCGGTCATTGAAACCAGAGTCCAGGCAGGCACCCAAATCTTCCAGTAAGGACTATCAGCCCCAAACCTACACCTAAAAGCCCTCAGATTTTCTTAACTCTTATGAAGATGTGATCTTTCTGCTGAAGATGATGAGTCGAATCCCGACAGCTGTGGTGTTATAGGCACATATGAGGAGAACAAGAGCTGCCAGCAGCAGAGTGGGACAGGAGGTGGACTCCCCGTTCCGGATCCACACAGGATGGTTAGGGGACCGCTCCGCCTGCCCACCCCAGGCAACGTGAGCCCTACGGGGCGGGTCAGGAAGCAGGCCAAGAGTGTGGTCAGCATGTGTCTGCTCATGCATGTTTGTCTGCTCACTGGTTCCCCACACGCACTCCCACACAGCTTATTGCACTGACAGCAGAAATCAGCTGTGCCTGTATGAGGGGCAGAGGGAGTGGCTGCATACCTGGGGGAGGGTGGCGAGCACATGTTCATTTGCTTGTGTAGCCTATATTCTGTTTCAAGGGATGTTACCCCAACAGCAAGCACTGGTCCCGCTTGGTACTGCATGTGTTATGGCATATTGCAGCATCAGGTACCACTTTCCTGGCTTTTCTAAGTGATTCCCCTTGTGTTTCACCAAATGCAGTTTTAGTAATTCACTAGTGGATATGAGATAATTTATCCATATTTGTATCACGCCTATAAAATTCCTGCAACAGTTTATGGACTTCTTTGAAATAAAAACATCTTTGGGTCCCTGTCTTTCACACATGACAAGTAGCAGAAAAAGAGAAGACAATGGGAAAACGATGACCTTCTTGCAATTCAAACGTCACCAGAGTCTGTGTGGCTTCCTGTGACAGTTCTGTTAATCTCTCTTTTAGTCTCTTCCTCCACCTCTTACAGGCTTCTGTCTTCAATCTCCTTTCCTTCCTTGCTAGTTCATACTGTAACTGACGATGGGTTTTCTTCTCGACTGGCTTCATTTTTGCTGTTCTTCCAGGAGAAAAATCTATTACCTGCACCGCCGATACAAGTTCATGAATAGGTGAGTACAATTCTTATGCCGGTCCAGTTTATGTTTATTTGGACCCAATAACAAAAATAATGGTTAAGGCCAAGCTGGAAAGAAAAGTTTATTAGCTGTGTTTGCAGGAAGGGTGGAGGGAGTGATTACACAGTAGGACATCTGCAAAAACAAATACAGAAGTCACATTTTTAAGGCATCTGCCATGTGAAATAGGCAATTCATTTTATCAGTGTTGCCTTTTTTAGGAATAAGGAAATATTTTTCAATTGATGGAGTCTTTTAAAGAAGAATAAGTGCATTTGTTAGTGCAAACACTGTATCTCTTTCTTTTCAGGTAGCTCATTAGGGAGTTTCTTGGGGTTAAAATACCACAGTTACGGCTTTTTTTTCATTTCCATGCACCTTACTTACTTGTAATAGTGATGGCATTATTTATTTATTGCTTCCTCTGTGAGGATGCTTAGTACTTTGTTGGTAGATAGGAAGGCAATGAACCAAGTTTATCTCTGGTATAACATTATTGAGCTTGAGAGATGAGTATTTTTCAAGAATCTTTGAAGTGCTTTCACTCAATTATTAAATATCTTTAAGTTTATGTTTTATGCCTGACTTAATGCAATGAAAAACTTTCAGTGCTGCAGTTTGCATTTTCTTTTTGATATCTTGGACAATTAAATGAAAATGTCTCCAAAAAGCCTAAAAAATATACAGGCTTGGCAAAGACCAGATCATAATGTTGGCATTTAATGCCACAGTGCTGTTGATGGAATTTTCGAAAGGGTGTAGTGTTTGATTTACTGCCTCTCTTTGAGGTCAGTGGAAAAACTCCCGTGAACCTCTGAGAGAGAAGAATTAGCTTTGAAAAATCTGCATTTTGGAGTAAACAGCTGTATCACTCTGCAGCTAATGTCAGCAGATGAACATCCATGGGAAAATAAATCATATATTATCACTCTGCTGTATGAGCATGTTAAAAAGCATTTTATATATTAAATTCCATCACTCAGTACTGGTGACTTGAGAGTACCATCATTGATCTCACGTTACAGTATTTGCTTCTTTATATTAGTAAGGACCAAATGGGCTCTTTGTGGAGTTCAGACATTTTTACCTAGTTGGCACAGGCTCATAGACACACAATTCTTCTAAAGCTTGGTGATGCTCCCCACTTTCCATTCCCACCTTATAATACATACTATAGCGCCTGTTAACTTTGGAATTTGTCTTGATTTTATTTAAGACATGGCTGCTTTGATGAAAGCAATAGATTAAAAGGAAGGAGTAGATGAAGATTCTAACATTCATATGTGGTGTATGAAATTTTGCTTTACATTCATTTTCTTATGAGTCAGGATGCGATTTGAAGTCAGTATGGGAAGAGGTATGATCTTTTTATGGTATTTTAGTTCCTGAGTGATGACAACACTTGGCTAAATTCTATTTTTATGTTCAGGTCTATAAATAGCTACTTGAAGCGGAAAAGCTATAACTGAATAGTCCCAGTGGAAAAAAAGAAAACATATTCAGCTTTATTTTCATTTATGTGAAACTCAGATATACAGCTTCAATAAAAGTATCTATTTCTTCTACTCCTAGTTCAGTGAAGATTATAAGTAACTGAAGCCTTTGTCCATTTTTTTTGAGCTAAGCCAAACATTATAATGACATTCAAGCAAAATTTATTTTAAAGAGAACTTTTGTTACTAAGTAAAGCCCAGAGCAAGTCACTTGCAACTTGTCAATCTGACTTGAATTGTCTCTCTGAAAAATTCTAGTGATCCCAAAATTTCAAATAACAAAACTCTCCTCATATATTCTGGAGAAAAGGAAGGCTATCAGGTACCTGTACAGTACCTAGAACTCTACCTGCATTGTGGTTAAAAACTAAACTAAGACAATATCTAGCACTGCAATATGCGTTAAGCTCTATCAAAGCTGAGCCAGAGATAAAAAACAGTCTTGATTCAAAACATTTGTTTTTCCTAACTTCCTCTTTCCTTTGAAAAAATGATTCTGTCGCTGCCCCACTTCCTAGTGAGAAACCAGTTTCTTTGAAATTATTTGAGAAACCCTTTGCGTGAGTTAAGCACAATATGTATCTTCAGAAAGAGGATACTGTGTAAAGACTAGACCTGGAGAGCAGGGCCAGGATTGAAGTGGAAGAAACTCTGTCTTTGAGACACTATGTGAATTAAGACAAAGAATTTTTGCCATGTGAGGCTAACAAGTGTTTTTAAAGAAGGAATTTAAGAAGGATATTATCATCAGATCTTCAGGGAACACCGTTTCAGTCGAGTATATAAGCTTCTCCATAAGGGAAGGTGAGGCATGGGTTAGCCTTGAAGAAGCGATAAAACATGGTAGATTTTTAACACTGTGTCTGTGTTTCTTAGCACCAACACTACTCTTTCACCTTTTCTTTCGAGAGATACTCCTGTAGAGTATAAAGCCTGCACTACTGGCTGATGGAACTGCTGGAGTGGCCTGGAGGCAATTTAAGAGTTTGGTCATTTTTCTTTTCCAAGGAGATAACTAGTTTTTTTTTCCCTAGGGCTGGCTTTCCTGTACTGGAAACTGTACTGTTCTGGGCCTTGCAGAAAGGCTTTGAAACCTTTTCAGACCTGTTTGCCAGCAGGGAAGGAGTGGGCTCACTGAGCATGCCAAGTAATCTGAGCCTTGGGAATGGCAAACCAGTCAAATTCTGGGTACACTCAGTGAGAAGCCAACATGAATAATGCATTGCTCTTAAGTGGGGAAAGCACTCTGTGTGTGCTGTGCGTGCATGCATGGTGTGATAAACCTGCAGCACACATATCTCAAATGTGCACATTGACTTGCAGGATGAATGGGAAAGGATTGCGGATTAGCAAGAGTGTTAATAGCTTAGAGAATTCAAATTATTTTAGTCAACAAATAAGCATGGAATAGGATATTTAGACAACCTGCCTCATTCCTCTTCCCTTTTCCATACCCAGAATCACTAAGCCTGCCAAACATACAGTAATGCAGAGCTTGTGGCCTTTACAGAGGGAAAACTGGAGGCTGAGAGAGGGAATCCCCCTGGAGACAACTTACTTTTCCCTTGTTGTTCCTATCAGTGTCTGCACAGACTAGCTCAAGGCAGTCAGGTTGGATGCTGTAACTGAAGAGTTACAGTTGGTCAGGCCCTTTACAGCGCTGGAATCTGACGTCTTGCCTGCACTCAGGCACAGACATTTGCAAGCCACCTCCTCCCGTACTCTGAACTGCTGGGCCAGTGCAAACACTGCCCATGAAGAGTTTATGATTAATTTAGTGTAAGTCTTATGTTATGTTCACATACATATTCCAGTTCTTCCAAACAGTCCTGATGGTAAATTTGCCCCCTTGCCATGGTATTCCCAGAATGGGAATACACAAATGGTACCAGAACAAGTAGAGCTAATTTGTTTACAATTTTTAAATGTGCCCATGTTTAAAAATTAGCATTAGCTTTCTTATCCAGGATAAAAATACCTGATGGGAGAAGGTTGAATATTTTAGGAAATATTATATGTATTTTAAATGAAAGTATGTAATAATTTCATGTCACTTTCCCCCACACTCAGCTGCTTGGGTATGGATTGCCCTCCCTCAAAGTGACTGTGCAGAGCTCACAGCATTTGCTGGTCATAGAGTTATTGCAATGACTTCTATAGAAAGAAAAAAAACAACTACATTTCCAGGCCTTGAGCTTCATCCAGAACTGGACTTAAAGTTCAAAGGATGTCGATTCATGCCCTTTAGCTTCACTCCTGGAAAGATTCATCTCCTGACTGAAGTATGTGCATAGTCCGTAATTTGTAGCCTATGATTTTTGCAGGCAGGGATCACTGATTAGGACTTGAAGGTGTTAGGAACTTCTGAGAGAGTAGGACTCATTGTGCCAGACATGTCTCATCTTTCTCATGTGTTTTTCATTATAACATTTTCATTTGGATTTGAATTTGGTTTAGATTGTCTTCTCCAGTCAGCTCTGATTCTTCCCTTTCCCTTCATTTCAGTGTGCATCTTTGCATGAGTGCACTTGCAGTTAGATCTGCCCTTTCTCCAGCTTGATCTTAGTTTGCTTTCACCTTCTAAATATAAGAATCTGCATAGCAGTCACCTGTTAATCTATACGCTGAGCGTTCTGGTTTCATGGAGGTTGTAGTATTGCAAGACACTACAATTGAATCAAATGAACAAAGTAGCCTATTTTTTATAGCATCAATTGTGAGATAAGAATCTGTATGGAGAGCAGTAAAGGGATGCAACTTGCTGGGGTTTAGCTGCCAAAGCTCTCTGTCACAGTCTCTGCTGTTCTAATGTTTATATGTCCAAAGTCTAATGTGTCAATTAAGCCTGAAATTTAAACTAACTGAAAAGCTGAGAAATAAAGGTTTAGAAAGTTGCCAAGAGCTTACTGAGCTTAATAAGATTTATAGCATCATGTACCATCAGCATTGTTTTTCTGTTCAGACAAAATAAGATGCTCCTCTGCTGAAAGCTGGTTATTAATAATCAAGTTCAGCATGTATAATTTGGTCTGCCTAGAAAAAGTCAAAAGACATTACATATTTTCTAGTTGTAAATATTAAGTGGCCTAGTTTGCCAGCATGTGTTCTTTGTAAGTGCTCTGTAATGTAATGAAAAAACACTATCTCAAATGCTCACACTTTTTATGTGCTGCAGGATCGAGAAACAAATAAGCAGGTTTCGAGGATGGTTACCTAGAAAGCCAATGAAACTGGACAAGGAGACACTGCCAGATCTGGAGGAGAATGACTGCTATACTGCTCCATTCAGCCAACAAAGGATCCATCAGTGAGTATTTTATTATAACTTAATTACAAGATCAAAACTTTTCCTTCTGGATTCACCCTGAAAAAAAATCAATTTCTTAGTTCATGTATTAAAGACTAGTGCCTTCAAATTAGTTCTTTGTCACAAAAAGGGAAAGATAGAGTCCTGAGGGAGCATAAAGTCTGTCTACATTTCTAATAATTAAAGGTCCAGCTCAAAGCTAAAGGAAATCAATGGAAAAGTTCCTTTTAATTCACTGGAATTTCAATTACATCACTAAAGTAAACAAATGGCTAATTCTCTCTTGGGTCAGAATTGCAGTTGTTCTTTGTCACGTAATGATGTGATTAAAACTTCTTTTTCAGCATTTCTATATCTTTAGCATAATCAAAATTAGTCCTTCTAACACTGATGGTCAAAATAAACTGATACTGCGTTTCATTCCTAGTTAACGACTGTAGAACAAACAGAACTCAAAAGAAAGCAGAGAATGTCGTTTTGTTTGTATTTCTCTGTCTTTTACTTTTATGGAAGCAAAACTGCTTGCAAAATGCCAGTGTTAAGACCTATCAGTGACACTTGTCCAAGCATATCAATGGCACCAGTGTTGCACCAATGTCACGAGAGAAATCATTTGACTACTAGAAGCCTTTATTCACTTGCAAAATGCAAAACAGAAAAAGCCCATGTGACTTTCAGACCCCGTGTTGAGTTTCAGGGCTGTCAAATTTTGGAGAAAGATGGTGTCTTATGGGTAGTTACAGTGTTTGTGATAAGGGAAACAGACATTGACTAACTGAGAACAAAATCACAAAGAATAGGCAGCACTGAACAGGGTACTAACAGAAGACACAATGAATTACAGGCAGCTCAAAGTCTAAAAATCTGAAATATGTGATTTTATTCAGGAAGAAGCCAAGTTGATGTAATGCTCTTAAATGCCTCACTTTGGATGAACAATTCTTCAGGGACTGGATTTATTAGCTGCAATAGGAATGAGTAAAACAAACCTCCTCTGCCATAATGCCCTCTGCCATTATGGGGAACAGAATGAAGCCCCCATAATCCAAGGGAAAATGGTTAGCGACCTGCTACACCGCTTAGATGCACACAAATCT